TATTATAACACACACACACACACACACACACACACACACACACACACACACACACACACACACACACACACACACCACCCATGCACCACCTCACTTCCTCACTCAGCTCTCCCACAATCCAGCCACTTGCATATATACTGTATATTCCTGTTCCTTCCCCTCCCTCCCTTTCCCCTCCCTCCCTTCCTCCCTCCCTTCCTCTATCCTCGTCATAAGAATTTGTTTTTCATCTCGTAAATAATACAAATCCGAAACTATGATAAATAACTGTAAAAACTCTGACAAATTAAACTGTAAACTGACAACTACATAACCTAACCTAACCAATGTTCCACGACACACAATAGAATCACGGGATACTACTACTACTACACACACACACACACACACACACACACACACACACACACACTGCAGATCCATAAACTCGGTGGACCACTGCACGAAGGCTCCCCAATATTATCATGGAATCAGCCCCCTCTCTCTAGCCCACCACTAATACTAGACCTAAAAGTCCCTCGCGTGTCTCCTGAAGAAGGTCCCGCTCCCACCAAGTAACAATTTGGTGGGAAAATGAGAACACGACACAAAACGGATTATGCCCACACGATGCTCCATACTTCTTTTTGTATGTGTGTGTGTGTGTGTGTGTGTGTGTCTGTTTTAGAGGACTGCGTACATGACTTGTGGGGACGGTATACATGACATCTGTAGCAGTTAACATGAGTGTAGTCGAAGATACTGTAGGTGAAATATGGTTGTTGAGGCGTTTCAGACTGAAGGTACAAACGTTTTACTGTTGGTAGAAACGTGTCAGACTGTTGATACAAAAGCTGCCTGTTAACGATACACTCACGTCTGCTTACATTTATTATTTCCGACTATGTAACTTAGCTAATGTACTCTACAGAAAGCCTTTCGTAAATGATCCAATAAGGGAATTATCGGCGCTGCCAGCCGTACTGTTACTGCAACTACAACAATAACAGTCCCATTCTGGTCATAAATTAGGGCCATTATCATAAAGGATAATGATTTTCACATTATCACGGGGCTTTTTTTCACATCATTATTCACTTTTCTTGGCGTTATCATGAACATTATAGAGTCCCACCAGTACGATAACTTGGGTCCTCAGTCATTGTTGTTGTTTGACCGTGGCGGCGTCCGACAGTGTGCCAGATAACATGATGGAGAGGACACGCACTAACGCACCACTTCTCCCTCACCGTTAATATTTCCACCCTAAGAGGCGTCACAACTATTCGTTCAGCTTAGTAAGTCATAATGTTAGTGGCTGTGTATGTATCCCTTAAACCAGAAATAATAGTTTTGTGTTGTGAGCCAGATGCCGGTGCTGACAACACGCACACACGTACGTCTGCCACTGCACCACTTAGCAACTCCACGCTACAATGATGTCCTAGCAACAATGTACGTAATCAGAGAGTGTGTGTGTGTGTGTGTGTGTGTGTGTATCATACACTTTACAAATCTTTTAGCAACACTCAACAAACTGTAAATATTTCCTCACAAACTTACGCTACACAACAACAACAACAACAACAACAACAACAATAAACTTCAAAACATCAACTTATAAGAAACAAAAATAATATCAAAACCACCATAAATATTCTTAAAAAAATCTATTAACTAAAACAAAGAAACAAACAAACATAAGAACTTGAAGCTGATCTATTAATGCAACACAAGAATTAAGGCTCCCGAGTCAGTTACAACATATTTTCAACCTTTCAATTGCACGATCAGAAACTTACACTCGGGACCATGGGGTTAATAGGTCGGTTGCAAGATCTGATTGCAAAAGTATCTGAGGTTGATCGATATGTTGCATGATGAAATAAGATATAAAAGACACTAGGGTAATATGTCAGGTGCATGGTGGTGATCAGAGGTTTCGGGGTGGACAGACAGACAGACAGATAGACAGATACTTAAATAAGGCACTATAAATATTCCAAAATCACCATCACCACCACCACCACTCTCCCCACCCTCACCACCACTCTCCCCACCCTCACCACCACACCTCACACATATCACACTCCTCACATCTTTTCCACCATCACCACCACCACCCTCTCACCACCACTTTCTCACATTCCACCACCACCACCCTCCTTGCACCCCATCTCCCCACTCCACCACCACCACACCCTCACCACCACTCTCATCACCACCCCACCTCACCACCTCTCCCCACCATCCCACCACCACCACCCCTCACCTGCCTCTCCCCACCATCACCCACCACCACTCCCTCACCCACCACTCCCCTGTCCACCACCACCACCCCTCCCACCACTCTCTCCACCACTCCACCACCACCACCCTCCCACCACCACCTCTCCCCACCATCACCACCACCACCCTCCCACCACCCTCTCCACATCCACCACCTACCCCTCACCTCCTCTCCCACCATCACCACCACTCCCCACCATCCCACCTCTCCCCACCATCACACCTCTCCCCCACCACCATCTACCCTCTCCCCATCCACCACACTCTCCCCACCATCACCACCACCACCAATCCCACCCTCACCACCACTCTCCCCACCATCGCCACCATTATCCCCACCATCACCACCAAAGACATATCCCTCCTCAGTCTTAAGCCTCCCCTGTTCATTACGTCTCCCAAAACTTCCTTAACTTCACCTGTCCAGCTAAAAGAAGTTATCTGGTCTTTTTCTATGAGTCTTTTCTTATCTCGTGGGATCCAATCTAAGGTGCCTTTGGTCTGATCAAAGACACCGCTCAACTACCACAATTACAACGGCGCTCAACTACCCATCCTGTTCACTTAGCGCTCAACTACCCATCTATTCAACGGCGCTCAACTACCCATCCACACAGCTACAACAGCGCTCAACTACCCATCTGACTACAACAGCGCTCAACGCTACCCATCCACTGGCTACAACAGCGCTCAACTACCCATCCCACCAACTACAACAGCGCTCAGCTTCACCCATCCTGACTACAACAGCACGCTCAACTACCATCACCAGCTACAACAGCGCTCAACTACCCATCCTGACTACAACAGCGCTCAACTACCCATCCTGACTACAACAGCGCTCAACTACCCATCCTGACTACAACAGCGCTCAACTACCCATCCTGACTACAACAGCGCTCAACTACCCATTCTGACTACAACAGCGCTCAACTACCCATCCTGACTACAACAGCGCTCAACTACCCATCCTGACTACAACAGCGCTCAACTACCCATCCTGACTACAACAGCGCTCAACTACCCATTCTGACTACAACAGCGCTCAACTACCCATCCTGACTACAACAGGGCTCAACTACCCATCCTGACTGCAACGGCGCTCCTTTATTCTGGCTACAACAGCGCTCAACTGCCCATCACCAGCTGCAACAGGGCTCAACTGCCACCAACCTAACTAGAAAAACGGCGCTCAACTTCCACCGCAGGCCTTCGAGCTCACTCCCTACAGGATGCTGCTCCAAGCTGGCGTTGCGTGACTTCAGCCAACAACCGTTTCCCCCACCATACTACTTCCGCCTCACCTTACCGTAATCGTTACCTGTAGTGCCGCTAATGGTGTAAACTTACCCCTTTCTAACCCGCCGGTGTGGTGAGAAATGATGGATCACCTGAAGCTTAAGCACCCCAGCCTATTCATCAGATATAAGCTTGAATACCCAATCTCTAGGTGAAATAAACCTGAATGCCCAAATTCTAGATGAAATAAGCTTGAATGCCCAATTTCTAGGTGAAATAAGCTTGAATGCCTAAACTACAGGTGAAATAAGCTGGGGTGTTTAAGCTTTAGGTGATCCAGACCCCCCCCCCCCACTCATACGCCGTCATCAGAGAGTTATATGGAAAATTAAAAGCGTTCACACTAACGTTACTTGTCGTCCTCAATAAACCACGACATAAGAAATACTGTAACACTACTACAAAAGACTCACCTGTATAATCTAATTAAGGTAATAATACTCTCAGGTAACACTCTTCTAAGAAAGGTAATATTGGTGATAAATTTCTAGTACTATGTTTTTAAGTTACTCTCTATTGTATTAAGTGTAATGTTAGGTCAGGTAATGTTAGATTAGGTTCTTGTGCTTTTCACTGTTTTGTCAACATCTTCTTAGACACCTCAGAGGAAGTTTCTATTAGATTTCGGGGTCACACACACACACACACACACACACACACACACACATAAAAGTCTCTCTCTCTCTCTCTCTCTCTCTCTCTCTCTCTCTCTCTCTCGGTAACAAGGACAATTTTACACACTAGTTTTACAGTTTTAGTTCATTCCGTGTTTACTTTTCTCGCTCGTTTGTAAGCTCGTAAACCTGGGTCGACCTGATTCACATTTGGGGGGTGGTAGGGGTGGTGGTGGTAGGGGTGGTAGGGGTGGTGGTGGTTAGTAGTTGTGGTTAATATAGTGGTGGTAGGATAAGGGGAGCAGTAGCTATGTTTACGCTGGGATACGAACCGGTATATGAACTTATCTTGTACCGGTAGTATAACTGTCACGCCACTACTGTCACGACTAAGGCCCCCCAGTAAAGACTGTCATGACTAAGACCCCAGAGGAAAGGACACATATCCCTCTTAAATGTCTCGTGACAAGAGACCAGGACAAAATAATACCCAACATAGGCCAGCTACTGGAACTGTCACTCGGCGTCTTGTGACAGCAATACGTAATAACTGTCATGCAAATGACTGTAATACCATCCGCAACACACACGTGTTAACCTGGCCACCATCACGTGTTAATCTGGTCATATATCACGTGTTAACCTGGCCACCATCACGTGTTAATCTGGTCATATATCACGTGTTAACCTGGCCACCATCACGTGTTAATCTGGTCATATACCACGTGTTAACCTGGCTACCATCACGTGTTAATCTGGTCATATACCACGTGTTAACCTGGCCACCATCACGTGTTAACCTAGTCATAAATCACATACCTGCGACGGGAGACATCTTATCCAGCACAGCCCATCGTTGTTTCCACTGTAACAAGAGAAGTTTACATTAATAAAAGACTACCTTTATACCTGTCGACTCTACCTGTAACAGACTAATTAACACAGGTAGTAGACCCCACCCCCATTGGAGAGGAGAGATAACAGAAGAGTGGAGAAGTAAAACAAGAAGTGGGGAGAAGGGAAAAAGAATCAGAGAGGAGAATAGGGGAAGAGAGGAAAGAGGATAAAAGAATAACAACAAGAGAGAAACAATTACAGATAAATAAACTCCTCAAAAAAAATTAATTACGAAACAAAACAACAACTCTTATTATATTCGACCCCACAATTAGCTTTTACACTAAATAAAAATGTTTTCTTTTTTTTTTCTTTTTTTTTGTTGTTGTCCAAATGGCGTTTCAGTGTCGGACAGCATTACGTAATGAATGTCAAAAAAGAGGTTGACGCCTGAGAGAAAAAAAAGATAGATTTTAATTTCACATATTTCAGGTTCCTTTATACTGTATGTACGCTTATGTGATGTTTATACACTTTTAATCATTCAATCATTCTTAAAAACTATAGTCTAAAGAAAGTATTAGGTTAGGTTAGGTTAGGTTAGAATTAGGTCGAGAAGAATCGGGGTTTATCAAGTCTAACCTAACCTAACCCTTGAACAGGACACAACCTCCGTAGAGCTACACAACACAGAGAGAGAGCAAAACCTTCTCCACCAGGCAGGTACTGACACACACACACACACAAAGCTGTACTACATTTGTCCATTTTGCTCTCTCTCTCTCTCTCTCTCTCTCTCTCTCTCTCTCTCTCTCTCTCTCTCTCTCTCTCCTCTCTCTCTCCTCTCTCTCTCCAGCGCAGTATAGAAGGGACATGCAGAGGAAAACCGGGGATTGTGACGTGTTAGTCAATATGTCACAGGTAACACACACACACACACACACACACACACACACACACACACACACACACACACACACACACACACACACACACACACACACTTGCTCCTGGTGGTGTGTTGTTATCGCTATTGATCGATCCACCAGGTGGGGGGGGCAGGTAGGATGTGTATTGTCGTCATTGAAGGGGAGAGAGGGAGAAGGATGGAGAGGGAGAGGGATAATGAACGAGAGGGAGGGAGAGAAGATAAGGAATGAGAGGGGTGGGGGGGGGAGATAAAATTACCCCATTGGGAGGAAGGAACTTATGCTGGTATCATTCTGGATGTTGAAGGGCGGCTCTCTCTCTCTCTCTCTCTCTCTCTCTCTCTCTCTCTCTCTCTCTCTCTCAGGAGCAACAGTACACACACACACACACACACACACACACACACACACACACACACACACACACACACACACACACACACACACCGCCCCACACTTGAGAATGTTCACAACTCCACCAATAAGAATCTTGCTCAATGTAAACAAAGCATTGCGTCATCGAGAATCAACCAATGGTCTCACTACTATTGTCTTCCTTGTCACAAAAAATCACGACACCAACTTTACACTTTCCAAAATGTATTATGACGTAACATCCCGTCTATTTGTGCAACAAGTATCAAAGTAAACAATTTTTTATTTTATTCTAATGTATGGTGTAAGCAATGATTCTCTCTCCTAAGTGTATGTTGCAAGGGGAATGTCTCTCTCTCTCTCTCTCTCTCTCTGATTTGTGTTGCAAGTACGTTATATATTTTTCACCCTGATGCATGCTTAAACTAAGTAACTCTCTCTCTCTCGTTCAACCTCTATTTCTAATGCATGTTGCAAGAACGGAATCTGTCTAATGTATGTTGCAAGAAAGGAATCTATCTCTAATGCATGTTGCAAGCACACTCTCTCTCTCTCTCTCTCTCTCTCTCTCTCTCTCTCTCTCTCTCTCTCTCTCTCTCTCTCACTTGAAGCAGACAAACACAGTGTGGTCTTGTGCTGGACACCGCTACCTGTCCACTCAGAAAAGACTCTGTATTTTGCAACTGGTTAAACTATTATTTTTAGCGCAGGCGGCGGTGAGGTGGCAGAGAGAGTGGCAACGTGGTGTGGGTGGAAGAGGGCGAGTGGCAGGAAGGGGTAGTGGGCAGGTGGGTATGGGTAGTGGCAGGCAGGCAGGGGTAGTGGCAGGCAAGGAGTGGTAGGCAGGGGTAGTGGCAAGCAAGGGGTGGTAGTGGCAGGCAAGGAGAGTCAGTGGCAGGCAAGGAGTCAGTGGCAGGCAAGGAGTGGTAGTGGCAGGCAAGAAGAGTCAGTGGCAGGCAAGGGGTGGTAGTGGCAGTCAAGGAGAGTCAGTGGCAGGCAGTGGTAGTGACGAGCAAGAAGAAAGTCAGTGGCAGGTGGGAGGTGATGGCGGAGCCAGGGGTTAGTGAGTGGCTTGGAGTGGGAGGTCAGTGGCAGGCAGGGTGGTAGTGGCAGGTGAGAGTCAGTGGCAGGCAGGGGTGGTGGTGGCAGTCAAGGAGGTCAGTGGCGAGCAAAGGGGTGGTAGTGGCAGTCAAGGAGAGTCAGTGGCAGGCAGTGGTAGTGTCTGCCTGTAACGTGAATACAACATGTACCACTTCACCTTCAAAGACCTGGACGGCCTCCCCGCCTCCTCTCTCTCTCTCTCTCTCTCTCTCTCTCTCTCTCTCTCTCTCTCAAGAAAATAGATATTCCTCCCATTATGCTTAAAGATATTCCACCTGCCTTCACCTGCCTTTCTTAACACGTTACCATCACCTCGAACAATACACCTCGATATATTTCATCCCAGGAGACAATATATTCTAATATTTTTCATCTTTTAGTATATTTCATCTCAGAAGAATAAACCGGTATACTAATATATTCCACATCGAGAGAATATATTGTTGGTATATTTCAACGCAAGAGAATATATCAATGAAATATAACATACTTTATATTAGGAGAATATGTCTCGATATATCTCATCTGTTAGTTTGGTCAGCTTGAAGTGCAATTAGGTCACCTTGAAGTGAGATTAGGTCACCTTGAAGTGAGATTAGGTCAGCTTGAAGTGAGATTAGGTCAGCTTGAAGTGAGATTAGGTCAGCTTGAAGCGAAATTAGATCAGCTTGAAGCGAGATTAGGTCAGCTTAAAACAAGATTTGGTCACCTTAAAACTAGATAAATAATCCCACAACTATCGTAAAATAATCCTACACCGACTATGAATGAAGAACTCCCGCAGGATTCATCGCCACGTTCTATATATAATGACGTCCTTCCTAGCAAGTCACGATCCCAAAGCGTCCTGCACACACATCCTGGACCCGAAGACGGACGTACGGACGGAAGGAGTGACGGACGGTAGGGAGAGAGATAAAAAATAAAGACAGACACAGACAGAAGAGATAAATGCTAGAGAATTATTCACAACATCATGTGATGTTAACTACATATGATACCAATAATATGTGGTTACCAATAATTCGTGGATCAGTGATATGTGGCACCAAAGACTTGCAATACCAAAGTTATGTGGCACTGCTATGTAGCACTACTGATATGTGGCACTACTGATATGTGGCAGCATAGGTACGTGGCAGCCAAGATATGCAGCAGTGTCAGGGTTCGTACTGTAAAAATATATATATACTGGCGGGAAAAAGACTGTGAAGCTACTGGAAGCTGGACACAAGCCAGGGATGGTGAGGCTCTACCTGGTGGCGTAGGAGAGAGAGAGAGAGAGAGAGAGAGAGAGAGAGAGAGAGAGAGATAAGCTAGGCTAAGCTAACATATGTTACTGTAACCTAAAATGAACCATGTTAAGTTAGGCTACAGGATAAGCTAGACTGTTATTTTAGCTTAAATAACGAAAGCTATAGTACGGATAGGTTAGTTATGATATGATGAAGTTACATTAGCTTAGGTGAAAATAGCTTAAGTTAGCTTTTGTTAGATACGACACACCTAAGTTAGAAGCACAACGCAGTAAAGCTTATCCCATAGACTTCCTGGTCAACAGAGAACGGAAGGAGAGTCGGTGAGGTTTACGTTAGCTGTGTTTCAGGGTCTTCTTGTGTTGACCTAAGTGAGTCGGGTCGTTCTGGTCTTTGTTGAACAGCCTCACCCTCTGACTGGCTCTTTGTTCAACCACACCGTGAACAAACTCCTTCCAAGGTGACGCAAGCTGTTCATACGAGTGTCGGCGGAGGCACGCACGCACGCACGCACGCACACACACACACACACACACACACACACACACACACACACACACACACACACACACACACACACACACACACACACACACACACACACACACACACACACACACACACACCCTAATGCAGACAAAGCATTCAGAAAGGTGTTTGTATGATGCACTTTCAAGGCAACTAAAACACACACACATACACACTCTCAAACAAGCTGACTGCAACAAACACACTCATTAAAATACAATTAAATGTTGAGGCCAAACTTTACACACATCATGTCGGTAAAGTAAATAAATGTTCACACGTGTGGATAACTTACATGTTCGTGATGACTTAAGCAAGAGTATATACGGGTGTTAACAAGGTGGAGTTTAAGATAGCAATTGTCCCATCACCAACACCCGTCTTTAACATATACTCACTAAGATGTATATAATTATTCACGTAAATATCTCCATCATGTTTTATTCTGATGGTAATTTACACAACAGTTTACAGGTATGATGTATTTACATTCGTTTCACTCACCTGTTTATTATGCGTCGTGCACCTTAGCCTCATTAATGTGTTGTTGTTTTTTTCAGGTGAGTAAAAGTCACAACAAATCAACGATGACGGCGAAGATTAACCTTAAGAGGAAGGAGTTGTGTAATAGTGTACATTCACTGTGTTGTGCTCACATGACCAACACACGTCAAGGCTGCGGTGGTTCAGGGAAGGCGATCAAGCCTCGTCATGCAGAACAACACCAGCCCACCGACGCTTTAGGTAGGTTGGTGGCCTTCTACCGGGGCACAGTCCCAAGGATGGTGCCAGAGTCCAGGAGGCACTATTGACACAGGTTACCAGGATGGAGAGAGAGG